CTGGTGTTTAAACTACTTCTTTTCTTTTTAAACTCCAGGTTCCAGAATTATCACCTATATTCGCTACCTTTGTTTTCACGTGTTCAAGTTGAAAAAAGATGGTCTTCTCAAGCTATGCATCTAAAAGCTGGACAATGAATAAGGAAGACAGTAGAAGAACTGATGGCTTTACATCATGGTGTTGGAGAAAAATACTGACTACCTCATGGACTGCCAAAAGAACAAATAAGTCTGTCTCGAACAAAGTGCAACCAAAGTGCATTCTTTAGAAGCAAGGAGGGTGAAATTTCATCACACATACTTTGTGCATATTGCCAAGATGGGCCAGTCATCCTTCTGGGAATAGTGAAGGTCAGATAAAGAGAGGAAAGATCAACAGGATGGATTGACCCAATGACTGTAACAATGCACTCGCGCATATCAAAGATGATGGGGATACTGCAGGATACGGCAAGATTCCAATCTGTTGTTCACAGAGAGACTATGACCAGAGTCACTGGTCATTTTGAGTCGGATGATCACTGCAAATACCTTTTATCAAAAACAGCACAAACAGTGACTATACAAATGGACCTTACCTAACAGACTATAATGACAGGAATCAGAATAAACTACTACCATGGAGAGAGTCTTTCGAGTTTAGTATCAGCAGTCAATACAAGGTCAAAGGCTGACTGTGGTCAGATCATAAACTATGCATAAGCCAGCTTAAAGTGAAGGTGAAGAAAATGAAAACAAGTTACAAGAACCAAAATACGACCATGAATCTATCCCAATTGAATGTAAAAACCATCTCAAAACCAGATTTGATGCATTAAATGCTAATAACCAAAGACCAAATGAAGTGTGGATGACATCAAAGACATTACCCATGAAAATACCATTACAAAGATAAGGAGGAATGAAAGATCAAAGTGGATGTCAGACTCTAAGACTTGCCCTGGAACAAAAAGAAGCCAAAACAAAGTGAAAGAAAGCTGAAGAGTAATGAACAGAAGATTTCAAAGGACAGTTTATAATGACAAATGAAAGCAGTATAACAATGAAATGTAAAAAGAGCTGGAGTTAGAAAAATCAAAAGAGAAGAATATGCTTAGCATTTCTCAAGCTGAAAAACCTGAAGAAAAATATTCAATACTCAAGTTGCAATACTTAAGGATTGCAAAATATAGGTGGGCAAGATTTTGAATAATTCAGGAAGCATTAAAATAAGATGAAAGGAGGAGCTCTGGTGGCCTAGTGGCAAGAAGTTAGTTACACTACAATCCCAAACGCACGCAGTTTGAAACCACCAGATGCTCCACTGGATGGCACACACATACACAAGATGGAAGGAATATACAGAGTTGTTGTTAGGTGCCATCAAATCAAGTATGACTCATAGTGACCATATGAACAAAAGATCTGAAGCTAGTCCTGTCCTGAACCATCCTCACACTTCCTGACATACAAGAGCCCACTGCAGCAGTCACCATGTCAATCCACCCAGTTGAGGATCTTCCTCTCCTTTGCCAACATGCCACCTCCCCAGCATCATGTCTCTCTCCGAGCACCTCCTAGCAACATGTCCCAAGCATGTGAGGTGAGGCCTCATGGTTCTTGCCTCCAAAGAGCACTCTGGCTGTATCATCTCCAAGACATATTTATTTGTTCTCTTGGCTGTCCATGGGATGTTCAGTGCTCTTCTCCAACACCACAGCTCAAAGGTGTCAATTCTTTTTCTGTCATCCTTATTCATTGTCCAGGTCTCGGATGCATAACTAGTAACTGGAAAGACTATGGCCTGAATCTCAAACTGACATCACTATTCCTCAATAATTTTGAAAGGTCCCTCCACTGCAGATTTTCCCAGTGCAATGTGTCATTGTACCAAAAAGAATTGGTCAACACAGAATCATTTCAGGAAGTAGCATATGACCAAGAACCACGTGTAATGAAAGAAGTCCAAGCAGAACTGAACACACTGGCAAAAAAAATTGACATCAGGAATTGATGAAATACTAGTTGTTGTGTGCTGTTGAGTTGGAACCAATCCATAGCTGACCCTGCAGCAAGTTTTCAGAGGCAGTCAATTGCACATGAGGAGACTGCCCATCCTTCTCCCACAGAGCAGCTGGTGTTGTGTTTTGTTTTTTCAAAAAAATCAATGCAGCTCTGAATGTACTAAGAAATTCTGAAGACAGCTACCCGACTAACTGACCAAATCCCAAAAAAGGATTATCCAACAGCATGTGGAAATTACTAAAAAATATCATTAATACCTCATGCAAGTAAATAGCTGGAAGAGCATATTACCAGAGAATTAGCAAAAATTCAACCTGGATTCAAAAGAGGCTATGGCACAAGGTATATTATTTCTGATGTCAGGCAAATCTTTGACTGAAAGAAGAGAATACAAAAGAGATGTTCATCTGTGTTTTATTAACCAAGCATGTGACTGTGTGGATCATAACAAATTATGGATAACAGAGAAAAATGGGAATCTCAGAACACTTAATTGTGCTAAAGATAAACCTATACATAGAACAAGAAAACAGCTGACTGAATAGAACAAGGGAACAATACATGGCTTAAAAAACAGGAAAGGTATGCATCAGTTGTATCTTTTCAACATACATAACTGTATGCTGAGCAAATCATTCAAGAAACTAGACTATATGAAGAAGAATGTGGCATTATGATTAGAGGAAGACTCATCAACAATATGCATTATATAGACGATACAATCTTATTTACTGAAAGTAAAAAGGACTTGAAACACTTGCTATAGAGAACCAAAGACTCTATAGCCTTTAATATGGATTACATTTCAACATCAAAGAAACAAAAATTCTCACCAATAAGCAACATCAGGATAAAAGGGGAAGACTGAAATTGTCAACAATTTAATTTTAATTATATTCACAATCAACACCCATGGTAATCCCTAAAGAAAGTAATCGCCATTCAAACAGATATATGCATGCACATGTTTATCGCTGCATTATTTACAAAAGCAAAGAGATGGAAGCAACCCAAGTGACTACCAACAAATAAATGGATAAAAAACCCTATGGTATATTCATACAATGTATTATTATACAGCACTAAAAAACAACAAACTTGTAACACATCACACAACATGGGGGACCCTGTAGGATATCATGCTGATTGAAATATCTCAGTTATAAAAGGATAAATACTGCATAGTACCACTGTTATAAAGCAAGTCAACATGGGGGTAGGGAGGAGAATAGGATAAGAGTAGATAGATAATGACCATTGCATTGGAACAGATAAAGGAAAGAACTGTTTAAAAGGAATATATTGATTAGGCATATAAGTTGACAATAGCCTAGAATAAGAGACATAAAATTGCAACTGGGTAGTGAGGAGGGGAGGTAGGTAATTGAGCAACAATGA